ATTCAGGAATGGTTTCTGTCATCATAGAGGTACTGATGAGCTGAATCATTCCTTGCAGGATATACCCTTGCACTCCTTTTCTCCATCTCCTAACCTCTTTTTTAGTGGCATGTTGCAACACAATACCCCTTGTCAATCCCTAGAAGAGCACTCTTTTTCCATCCTTGTGGAAAGATATTCCTGGAGGTCTGGTATGTGACTGGATGGGAGCATAGGAATCAATCCAGTCCATCCCCAGAACTATATCACACCCTCATCAGTCAGCTCCTGGTCCACATCTTGCTCTTCCAGCACAGGATCCTTTCCCTGCCTTCTTCCTGGTCCTACACTGCCTTCACCAGGACTTGGTTGCTGAGAAGGAACCTGGGCTTGCACTGAAGGCTGGTCCATGGGTGGTTGGGGTGGCCTATTCAAGCGCAACAGCTCCATAATTTCATCCTTCCACCCCCACCATGTGAGCTTTAAGCTCCTGGAAAGAAGTCTCAAGGTTTTTCTGCCCAGAAGCTACAACTTCGAGTCTGCTCAACCTCTCTTGAACTGATGCAGTGGAGGTGTGTAACACCCCAGATTTTCAAGACATTTAAAACTTATAAAATAAAGGTGAAATCTCATTAATTCCCAAAACACGTAACATAAAGAGTACGGGGTGCTATGCCACACCTGAGCTAGAGAACTCAGGTGCACAGGCCAACTAACTAATATCCTTAATAAAGTAAATGCATAACATGGCACGCAGGCCGAAAGGGAAACTATCTACTTCTACGTTCCAAGATCTAGTGCCCTCCAGTGACTTATTCTTCTGTGCCTGAAAGCCAAATATATCTGTTCAGCGAGAGATGCTGGTAACCCACTCCAACGCGTTGAAATACAATACATATATATATATATATATATATATATATATATATATATATATATATATATATATATATATATATATATATATATATATATATATATATATATATATATATATATATATATATATATATATATATATATATATATACATAGATATACAAAAAGTCATTTCGAAGCATGAAGATATATCCTAAGAGACTCTAGCTTTCAAATCAGGGAACCGACTCGACAAATAGGGGTACACACAATCTACAGTCATAACCAAGTATATAGGATTCTCGACATAGGGCACAGTTATAGATAAAGACAACCAATAATCACAATTAAACATGTATAGTTTACTAGCAAGAATCCTATGGTCACGTTTCCATAACAGTCACAACATCAATCCTTTTTTTCTCAACATATAGCACACTTTGTTGGCGCCACAGGACCAATCGCATACCCATACATGAGGGTCAGCGCATATAGCTCTGACACGGCCCCGCAGCACCCTGCCCCGTCTCACAGCACGGAGGGGTCGATCGCAACCGACCGATGAACCGCAGCTCTATATAATATATATATACCTGACCGGTCTTTACCAGCCTGGTTAACAGTTGGGATGGTTCTCAACCCATTCAACTGCCCATATAGTGGACCTTTGTCCTATATAATATTTATATACCTGACCGGTCTCTACCAGCCTGGTTAACAGTTGGGATGGTTCTCAACCCATTCAACTGCCCGTATAGTGGACCTTTGTCCTATATAATATTTATATACCTGACCGGTCTCTACCAGCCTGGTTAACAGTTGGGATGGTTCTCAACTCATTCAACTGCCCGTATAGTGGACCTTAGTCCTATATAATATTTATATACCTGACCGGTCTTTACCAGCCTGGTTAACAGCCGGTATGGTTCTCAGCCCATCCGACTGCCCGTATAGCCCGATTGATCTCAACCAAATCAGGGTAACATGCAAACATAACACATAGCAAGCACATGCAGCCCACATTAACACATTGGGAAGGGGGAAACGTATAACGAAACCTATGCGTGGTCATCCACAACTAAGAATATTCCTAAGGGGTTCATACTTCTTATACCTAGGTCAACGGGATACCAATTCAACTAGTATGAAATATACAAGACTCATTCGACCTACGAACGGTTCCCGAACATCAAACTAGACATAGGCACGATAGGAGGCGTCCGTTGGGACGCCACGGGGGTCGGGGGAACATCAAACAGGGAAGCCGGAATCCCGGGTTGGAATACTTTCCAGCGGGTAGCCGGTGGGTGAGGGTTCACCCGCCGGCGTTACTGTTCCGGGCAGCGGGTGCCCGGCGGGCATCTGCCCGCCCGCCAGCTGCCCGCTGCCGGAGCTGCCCTTTTTGGCCGCGGGTAGGTGGCGGGTCCCCTACCCCCCACTGACGCTTTTTCATCAATAACGCCCCGGAAACCTTTGTGGAACCCGAAGCCATGCTTAGACACTTTCAACGCAATTGACAACAACACGTAGACAATTAACGGATCGAAATCAAGAAACATACGGCACATATCCTAACATGCTTTTCTAAATATAAACAACACCCAATCATGCGAATTCCCGCCCAATACACCAAGAATAATACCACACAAATCTCACGATATAACCTAGGGTTCTTAATTACTTTTTAAATCAGCAAGAACACAATTCATCTTTTAATATCAAGATTCGGTAGGAAATAACACATAAGCATCAAGAACATCATATAATCATCAAGAACATCACACAATCATCAAGAACATCAAGGACACCTTTTAATCGTCAAGAACTTCTCAAGAACATCAAGATCACCCATGGAATCATAATACCAATTATCAAGATCATTAGAACGAATCATCAATCTCACAAGAACATGGGGGAAATCCTAAGAGGGGAAACATAGCTATGAAAATAGGTTTTGTTGAGACATGGGTTACCTCTTAGCCTTAATTAATTCCTTGGCTATGAAGGGTCTTTCTTTAAGCTTTCTTGCTTTCTTGATTTCTTCTAAGGGAATTCTTGGAACTCTTTGGGTCGTGAGAGATTATTGTGGTGGGGGTTCTAGGTGCCTCTTATGTCCCCTAATTATATTCTTAGGAGTCCTAATTAGGGTCTAGTATAATGGGCTTGCTAATTCTATTCCTTTTAGGGCTAGGGTTAGGTTTTAGGGGTGGGGGCCCACGGACTATGGTGGGCCTCTTCTAAATTAATTATTGTAATTCAATCCTGCCTTTGGCAATTGATTAAACGATTTAATTGGTTTTAGGGGTCGTAACACAGCGTGTTACAAGGTGGTTCCCATGGGGGCTCTGATACCAAATATAGCACACCTGAAAGTTTGCAGCAAAAATAGCAGAGAAACAAGTAAAGAAGAATAAGAGAAAGCTAGGGTTTATGAGAGAAGAAATGATTTAGGGTTTCTGATTTCTCAACCACAAAATGCATAATAATAATTCCCAATCTGCTAGCATAAATATCAAAAACAATAAAGCTAATACATCCAAGAAATTCCCTAACAAACTCCACATTTTCAGCATTCTGCAATCTTCAGGCAATCTCATCAAAACGTCGTCGTCTAAGGGCTACCCTTAACCGCTTCCAAGGAACAGGCTTAAACGACGTTGTTCCTTCTTTTATTCAAACGGCACTCTAACGGCTTCCTTCGTACGACGCCATTTGAATAAGTAATTTCGGTTACTTGGCTTTGCTACAAACGACGTCGTATGGGTCCTTCGGCTCTCTCATCTGCCTTCCCATACTTAGCTTCTCAAATAGCTTTTCCCTCACTTCAACCCTTGTTTCAGCCTTCAAAATTTCTTCTCCATGGTTCAAGGTCATGACAGTTAATACTAAAAATCAATTCTAGCTAGGTGTCATTTATGAAAGATTTAAAAGAATTTTATTTGAGCTTGTGTCTCTTGAATCTAATGAATGACGATTGCGAGCTTTTTGAAAGCTTGTACTCGTAAACTTGAATATATCTTCTATGTATCTTCAGCTTCATATTCTTGCTATTTATAGTCGTGATTTTCAATCTGTCCATTGCAAATAAACAAATTCGAATTGTCCATTTCTCATTAAAATATGAGTTAATACCACAAATGGTCCTCTGACTATTGAGATACTACTCTTTTTAGTCCTCAACTTTCAATTCGACCAAAACACATACTTTGACTTTTATTTTTGATGACAAATAGTCCTTTGTTAGTCTTTCCATTAAGTGAGTATTAAATTTAAGTGTATTATCGCCAAATCAAAGAAAAAAATAAAATAGTTAACTACAATAATAATAATAATAATAATAATAATAATAATAATAATAATGATAATATTTTCAAATATATATATATATATATATATATATATATATATATATATATATATATTTATATATAATGCCACCAATAGATGAATTTGGAATAATACATTAACAGGACGGCGTTGCATATCTTGAATGGTTGTTAAACCACCATACATTTTTTGCGTAAGCCATTGCTTTTTAAAATAATAATAATAATAATAATTTTTTTTTTGACTTTGTTATGATGCCAAAATTTTATGTAGTGTGACCAATTGCTTTAAAAAAAAAAAATAGATATAAGGTAGTAATCAATACACATTCTCTAATAGTTCTTGTACGTTAATTCTTTTGCGAGTTTAAAAATATTCGACTGTTTTACTGAGATTTAACTATGATCTATTGGTCTTGACTGAGGTATATCTCTATTGAATACCATACTTCATTTGCTCCACATACATGCCTCTATTGATAGACTACACTTATAATCTAGAAGCATGTCGATCGGTCACACTTATCTATCCAGAAACTCACAGATATATCAAAGCAACTTTCAACAAAAAGCAAAAAAACTTCAAAGAAATGTAGCAGAGTTTATGGCTTCCAAGTGTTAGTAATGTTATAATTCTAGTTCATTTAATATGTTACATAGCTTGTATTATTATAGTTGAATTAGTCCTGTAACTAATAGCTATTGTATATGGTTAGTTAGATAGGACTCTAATCTCTTTTGTACTCTGTAACTGGTTGTGTTTTGAATTCACGATAATCATTCACTCATCTGGTATCAGTTAGGTAGGTGATCACTCTCTCTCTCTCCTTCCCAACCATGTCGACAAACTCCAGTGAAAGAACGGTCATCGCCGTTACACCACCACCTCCGTCTACCACCAACACCCTAGCCTCGGCTCACCACTTCATATCCATGAAGCTAACCACCAAGAATTTTTTCTTTTGTCGCACTCAATTGATGCCATTTCTTCGTGGACAGGGCTTGCTTGGATTCGCCACCGGTGAAACTCCGTGTACTCCAGTGACTCTTGAGACTCTGGCCTCCGGCGAGGCTGCTTCCGAGGCCACGACGTCAACCACCATGGTGAATCCGGCGCATGGTGTGTGGGTGCAACAGGATCAATCGATCCTGTCACTCCTCATATCCTCCATGGCCGATGAGGTCTTTTACCTTGCTGTTGGACGCACGACGTTGCAGGAGGTGTGGACCTCCGTCACGGCGGCGCTTGTTTCCTCGACACGGCCAAGGTGTCTCAACCTCCTTGCTCAGTTCCAGTCGCTCAGGCAAGGCGACAACACCCCCGCGGAATATCTCGGCAGAGCCCAGCTGTTGATGGAAGACCTTGCGTTGGCCGGCCATCCGGTCTCGCTCGATGAACAAAACCTCTGGGTTTTCCGTGGACTCCGGCTGGAGTTCCGATCGATGGCCTCTTCCCTTGCGGCGTCTGGCACTCCGGTGTCGATCCCGCAACTCTCGGACTATCTGATCCCAAGAACAACCAGCACAACCTTTGGTTTCATGATATGCTTGACTGCCCAATTCATGGCATCTCGGCTCCATTTGTTTCGCCTTGCATCCACATGATTGTAGTGGTACTTTTTGCCTTTGCTGTTTTAAATGGACTTGTTGTTAACTATTTAATTTTTTTTCTTTGATTTGACGATAATACCCATAAATTTAACACCCACTTAACAGAAAGACTAACGGAGGACTATCTGTGGTCAAAAATGAAAGTGAGGTATGTGTTTTGGTCGAATTGAAAGTTGAGGACTAAAAGGAGTACTACCACAATAGTCAGATGACCATTTGTGGTATTAACTCTTATTTTTTTCTTTGATTTGACGATAATACCCTTAAATTTAACACTCACTTAACGGGAAGACTAACGGAGGACTATTTGTGGTAAAAAAAAATGAAAGTCGAGGTATGTGTTTTGGTCGAATTGAAAGTTGGGGACTAAAAGGAGTACTACCCCAATAGTCGGAGGACCATTTGTGATATTAACTCTTAAAATATTATTATTATTATGCTCGGATTGGCATGTGTAGTTTGAGCCCAATAGTTATTTGTACAATCGTTATGCTGTGCAACCGGGTGCACCATGTTGCAAAATGACGCCGTTTAATTTAAAAAAAAAAAAATTCTCGTTCGGATTGTCGTTAACGGCGTTAGGCGGTTTCCTTTCATATTCAAACAGTAAGATATATCCATAATTTCATAACTATATATCTAGAATTACATAACTATATATTCAGAATTATATAACTATATATTCATAATTTGACAACAGTACATTTAGAAATAATAACTACACATTCATAATTTCATATCCATATATTCATAATTTCACAACTAGACATTCATAATTACATAACTTCATATTCAGAATTCTTAAAAGTGCTTGTTCACAGAGAACTATATCTATAATTGCATATACACATCCATAATTTCAAAACTATTATCTATAACTTCATAACTATTTATTCATAACTTCATAACTATATATCCATAACTATAATTACAAGTCGATTGGAGTTTTTGTAAAAATAAAAAATAAAATAAAATAAAATAAAATAATAAAAATAAAAATAAAATTATTTGATTGATGGAGTTAAACGGTGCCACTAATGACACTGTTACTCCATCATAATAAAACAGTGTCGTTTTGCAACCGTGTGCACCACGATTGCACAACATAATTTGCGTTATTTGTAAATTTTTCATAAAATCTTATTTTTGCTAATTGCTACTTTCACGAACCTTCCTTAAAGGTATGTATCCACCTTAGACAAAAGTAGAATGATTCATTCTTGTGCAACAAGCAAACAACAATATCCAAATAAATAAATAAACAATATAATATAATATAATTGTGTTTATGACATAGTCAATGAAAACTTACTTATTAAATGTGTATAAAAAAGAGTTACATACATGGAACCAATATCCAATTTCTAATTCTTATATTGTTGCTTTGCCTACTTTCCCAATTCACTACACATAATTGTACGTACTCCAATGCAATACTTAATGAAAAAGTGTTAAATTGGCCCTTAAGTCGATTAAATAGTGTAATTGGGTTCCCTAACTAAAAAAAAAATTCCATTTAAATCTCCTAAACCTGTAAAATTGTTCAATTAAGTTCAAAATAACTTGTTTAACCAATTAAGTCATTAAATGGTTGACACGTGTGTCTTTTTCAAATATTTTTATTTTTTTTTATAAATTTTATTTATTAAAATATATATTAAAAAAAAAAACCACCAACTGTGGCTACCAAGCACCAGAGTCTCCATTGTCGCCCGCAAGGAGGAGGAGCTCATGTGCGCCGTCAATCCAACAGATCGAGCTAGCTACGTAGTCACTCCACCGCCTGAAGTGCTGCTGCAGTGCTTGCTGCCTTGCCGTTGGAAGCTCAAAACTCAGTTGTTGGCTTTGTCGCAAATCCAACCGGGAGTGAGAGACCGGTAGTCTTCCCCTCTTAAAGCAAGAAAAGAAATAATTAACTTAAAGCAAAGGTGCAATTTATGCATCTGAAGCAATAGTAATTTAAAGAAAAGGCAAATCAGAGACATGGGCGATGATACAAAGAAGGCAAGCAAGGTTCTTCAATTCTTGTCGTTTCAGAGCTTGGTAGATGTGGGTTTCTGGCACAGATTCTCTTCGCTCAAAATTCCTTCTTTTTTTTTTTTTTTTTTTTTTTTGTATATGCTAATTTAGTGGACAATATATATTGAGCTGAATGGAATTTTTCCAATTATTGGGAGGTGAAATTATGCCCTACTGTATAATTCAATGCATAGAATTTACTCCTAAAGAACAACTATGGAACTAAAATTGAGTTTACCCATTTTTTGAGAGCTAAAGGTTATGCTAACTTTGTCTGATTTAGTCTTCATGAACCGTTGGATTGACGGCGCACAGGAGCTCCTCCTCCTTGCAGACGACGACGCAGACTCCAGTGCTAGGCAGCCACAACCGATGGCTGTTTTTTATTTTTCTTAGTTTCTTTATATATATATATATATATATATATATATATATATATATATATATATAATATATATATATATATATATATATATATATATATATATATATATATATATTAATAAATAAAATTTATATAAAAAAAAACAAAAATAAAAAATATTTTAAAAGACACGTGTCAACCATTTAAAGACTTAACCTGTTAAACAAGTCACTTTGTACTTATTGAACAATTTTATAGGTTTAGGAGATCTAAATAAAGTTTTTTTTTTTAGTTAGGGGACCCAATTGCACTATCCGGTCGACTTAGGAGGGCAATTTGACACTTTTTCCTATAATTAATAATAATTTTAGCAAATCTTGTATACCAATTATTTACTCTTTTAGACACTTAATTTGTGAATACCTACAAATGATAGCACTTTGAGTTCACGAAACGAAATCAATCAAATAATAACAAGAACAACTGCCAAAAAAACAACAACAATATTACTAATAATACATGAGAAAAACAAGATCAAGACATCAAGTACATAATATGAAAATGAAAAAGAAGATTTTTTACGTGGTTTGGCCCCTACATCCACAAGAATGAAGTATTTACTGATTGTGATGATAAAAATCTAGGGTTACAAACATCATATTCATAGACAACCCTAATGATACATTTAAAAATTAACCTATACCATACCACGAGGCCACTCTAACCCACTCAATCAACCTGGTTCGGGTTCGGACCATATATTTAGACAAGTGCTATTGTTTTGATATGCTTTGCTTGTTCCACTATGCTTGAACAATACCTGTCATCTTCTAATGACATATGCAACAATCCTCCACCATAACGAATATGCCCTTTAGAAAATAATCATGAAGTCTCTAACAACTAGAAACACCTAATAAGTTTAAACAATGGAACTTGTCAGTAATAATCAGTTAATCACTATTTTCATCAATGTGTTAGCTACATTATCATTAGTATGAACTTTGTGCAAATAGTCAAGAATTAAATTTAAAAAAAAAAAAAAAAAAAAAACAATCCGCGACCGTTATATGTTAAAAACAGTCGCGGGTTACTACCTTTTCGTGACTGTTCCACAACCGTCGCGGGTTACTACATTTTCGCGACTGTTCCACAACCGTCGCGGAATGTCTGATGTTTTCTGCGACTATGGTATACGCAACTGTTGTACAACAGTTGCTAAATATCATTTACGATAGTAACAAATGATTAGATCTGTACTAGTGTAAACACCTTTTAACATATTCCTCTTATGTATCTAATGCATACCATGCTCACTAAGAAGCCCAAGACGTAAATGCCACAACTTAACACTATCACCATTAAACTCAAGTGAATGAATTCCACTTACAACTGTACTCCCTAACAATTTATGGCTATTCCAGATTCTCCTCTTTCCTTTCATTACCATCAATCTGTTGGTGATAATGAACCAAAATCGATTTAATATCCGTAAAATAATATTTATATATATACACACGAAATATATATAAAATATTATTCGATATATATCCGAAATATATATATACACACAAATATATATATAAAACGGACCCAACGGTTATATATACATGTATATCTCCGAAAAAGATATACCAATATATATCAACCAAAAAGAAAATATAATCCTTAGATTATAATTCCAAAACAACAAGAAAGAACGGATTTTTGCTTAGAGCATAATCCAAAACAAGAAAGAAGAAGAAAGAAAGAAATGTATGAGTTAGGCAAAGTACCTGTCTTTCCTTAAAACCTTATTTGTCACCTCCCAAAATTGCTAGGAGCGTTGTGGCCTAGGTTTCCCAGGATAAAACGTACAACGGTTCGACGTTTGAGCACCCAAACGAACGAACCCGACGAACTAGAGCACGGGCAAAACACAGTAGCAAGAAAAGGAGTAGGAGCAGAGGTTTTGAGAAGGAAAATTGCTTATCTTTGTGTGTTGTGTACTCTCGTGTTCTTCCCACACTTGTTGTAAATCACTTGCTCCTACTACCTCTTCTTATATAGGAATTGGAGTACTAAATAGCATTTAGTAGGCATTCATGGCACGTTGGTAACATCTGAAACAGCTGGTCATTAGTGCAGGTTTAATTCAAAATTCAAAATGAATTAATCGCTGAGAGCAACTCTCGTGCTGCATGCTCTCGGCCAGGCCGCAGCGCACAAAAGCAACTCTCGTGTTGCTTGGTCTCGGCCAACGCACACGAGAGCACCTCTCGTGCTGCTTGTTCTCTGTTCGACCACACTCTCGTGTTGCTCTCTGTTCGGCCTAATGCTCTCGGGCTAGGTCGAACCCAGGCTTTCAAGTGGCTTAGAGTTTGGAAAACTGATACCGAAAGTTGGCATAACTTAGCCCATAGGTGCCGGCGCACACGAGCTCGGGCTTGAATCAAGCCTCTCCGAAGTCATCTCTAGTTGGAATTTGATTTGCACCCCCCCCCCCCCCGCGCGAGAGAGCCTCTATGCTATGCAATTCTACAAGTTCTAAAAAAGCTCTTGTATAAAAGGGGGGTGAAATCCTCTTTCCAAATCAATGTGGGACAAAGCTCACTTTTCCCTTACATTTTTC